CTTTCAGTGACCATAACAACAACAAAGCCAATTAAAAATTAAAAATTCTCAAAAAAAGTATTTCTGGTTTTTAAGTGTTTACTATTGCTAATTTTCATATTTTATAAGTTAAATATGGCGAACAACGGCGTTTGCTAATCCGCAATGGTCCAGTGGCTAGGATCCGACGCTCTCACCGTCGTGGCCGGGGTTCGATTCCCCGTTGCGGAAAATGTTTCCTTTTTTTGAAGGATTTTTTATTTACACAAGACATGTTTGCTTGTGGCATTTCTTTATGCTTCAAATAAAGATATGCAAAAAAAGCAATTCCGAAGACCCGGATTTGAACCAGGGACCTAGAGATATCAATATGATGCGCGATTACCACCACGCCAACACTACAGTCTCCCGCTCTACCGCTGAGCTACCTTCGGTTTTCTCAACGCAAAAGTAAGATAGTATTCAATCCAAAATATCAAAAATGTATTTTTGTATTTTTTTTTTAACAAAATCAGCAGTTTGCTGCTTTGCGACGCTTTGAATCATTAGTTTTAACATGCCAAATACTTTGTGGTACCTGTATAATGTGTACGGTTTTGTATATGGTGCTGTCATTCTTTTTTATCTTCTGGTATAATGCAATAATAGAAACCTCCCCAGCTATTTAATTTCGCATTTCTTTAGAAATATGTTAAAACAAATCATATATACTAAATGAAATTTAGTAAGGAGCTATTGCTGACATGAAACCACTCTAAATCCATTATTTGCATTGAGTTTGTATTGTATTAACTCTAAGTTTTGTGTATGTTTTGAACCATGTAGATATATTTGACAAATAAACGATACAGTCGTGCGGCTATTTTATTTTGTAGGCAAGTTTTGTACATACATTTAGCGGCCATTCATGAATGCTGTCATCAAAAAAAAATAGAAGTTCAAAAGGGAAACATACCCGCCCGCAGGCTCGACTGTCTTCCATTGAATTGTATCACCACAATCAGAGTAAAAGTATCTGCTGCAAAATATATGCTATGTGATTATTGAACATGTCTTATTACTGAAGAGAAAACCCGCCATATTCCAGCGGCTGTCGGCTCTCGAATACGAAAGATAGAAGAACTGATGTCTAGGCCAAACCCATCATAGTAGATGCGTCAGCACCATTATTGCGGGGTAAAATTTTAATGAGTTAATATTAAGTATATCCAAAGAGCTCTGATGAAACCTAAGCGATGTTGTATCTCCTGCGATGTTTATATAGGCTCGAGCCGTCTCGTGTTCCGTCTTGTGGTCCGTTCGTGATAGATACTGGACCAGTGTTATATCAGCGGCGACAGATCGTAATCGCCAGACGGGATTAGGGCGCAACACATCGTGTCAGCCTACTGCCATGGGGATATCGCATTGCGTCTCTCCACCTCCCCATTCATGTCATATCAACGTGTATCAAGAATTTGGACTGCTATCACATGAAAACGACCCATCTACTGCCGTTCCAATCGACCGACGTATAAACAACATCTTCATCCCCCTTCTTCATCGCAACAACTAAAAAACTTTTTTTTTTAAAACAATCGCATTGTTACATCAACCCCAATCTTCGTTATACAATGGTCAGTCAGAGATACAAGCTCAAGGCCAAATCCAAGGCCAAGCCCAAAGCACGTTCCGCGCCCCACGGCTGTGCCTCATCCTGCGACTGCACGGCGAACCCCATGGCCAAAGTGCCCATTGCCTGGTTTAACATTTGCCAAGCCTCCGAGGAGACGGTGATGGAGGCCTACGCGCACTGTCTTTCGGTGGCAAACGTTCCTCTGGATACCAGGCCTGATTCGCGGCTTTCTCCGGTGGCTAATCTGGTGGAAGGGGCGAGGACGGGGGCCATAGGGTTTGTGTTCCGTACGCGCGAGATGCTGGCCCGGCAGATTGCTAGTCCGCCGGTGATCGACGGGGTCAGTCGCCCGTGGTGCACGATCCACGGCGATCCTCTCGAGCAGGAGCGGGTCCTCACGGAGGCGTAATCTGAGTATTTCGTTTTTTTCCAAACAAAAATATTTCATGTTTTAAAATGTGATATATCAAACTGCATTTGAATATAACGTGCCCAATGTAACCGATTTAGGTAGGAGGATGGGTTATATAATTGGCGGTGTTGACGTTTTCAGGAAATACAGATTACCTACGGGTAGTTTTTAAAAAGCGTGTAGATTTAAAGAAAATAGAAAGTGTTACATGTCGAGACCTAGACCGAGTCGTCGCTCGCCAGCGGATCCTCGTCCTCCTCGTCCGACAGCTCCGTGTTGGCGAACAGCACCTGGCGATCAACCACGGGTGCATCCTCCTCGGCCAAATCGCCCCTGGCAAACGCCTCCTCGTCCAAAAAGTGGTTGAACCCAGCCTCCACCTCATCATACTCATCCCCCACATCGCCAAACACACGAGCCGCCGCCTCCCCGCCAGCCAGCCCATGGTACCTAAACCTACTCCCCGCCCCATCCGACCTCACAGCGCGACGGTCACGGCCGTCCATGGTCAGATGCCCGCCCCACCTCGGCGGATGCTCGTACGACCACCTCTGCACGGCATACGGCATGTAGGGCGCCACGCGGTCCACCGACCACAACACGGCGTCTCGCGCCGCCCTCCCCACGGCACGTCCCGTGGCCAGGGCGCCAAAGAACACGGGCGCCAGACGCTGCGCCACACGGGACTCGTCCGCCGCCTGCAAGTGGCGCAGCGCGGGGGCGGCCACGGCGGTCCCAACGTCCTCCAGCCGCAGATAGGGGAAGCGCTGGCGCCATACGTGGTAGGCCACGTAGGCCAGGCTGAGGAAGAAGGCGGCGAGGAACAGGGACCACAGCAGCGCCATGGCGCTGGCCTTGCCCGGACACCACACCTCCTTTGCCTGGTCCAGGACGAGCCCGCCGCGGCAGATGGACTGCGGGATGCGCCGGTACGCCGACTCGATGGTAAAGTAGTCGCGCTGGCCCGCCGTGCAGTTAGTGCGCGGCGCCTGCATGCCGGGCACCAGCACGCAGCGCCCGCCCGCCGGGTCGCGCACGAAATTGTGGTTGCACTCGTAGTCCATCGCCGTGCACTCGCAGGTCTCGGCCAGGTAGCGCGTCGGCTGGAACTCGTCGCCCACAAAGCACGCGGCCGAAGGCTTGCGCCGGTAGTAGTGCACGCGCCGGCCCAGCAGGCAGCCGTCATTGGCGATGGGCGCCGGCGTGAACAGCTCAAAGTCGCTCTCGGCCGGCTTGGCCGACGACACGCAGGCGCGCGGCTGGGCGCCGGTAAAGTCCAGGCCCACCAGGATGCCGTGGTCCGCGGCGGCGTCGCGCCGGCCATGCAGAAGGAACTTGCGGCTGGTGGCGTCCGGCGTGGTGGCCAGCCGGTCGATGCGCATGGCCTGCGCGTCGCGCGGCAGCGGCAGGGTCTGCCACGTGGCGCCCTGGTCCAAAGAGTAGTCGACCGACGCCACGGGCCGCAGCCGGTCCGCCACCACCAGCAGCGCGCCGTGGTCGCCGAACGCGTGCCACATGGCGCCGCGCCGCACCATGCGCCACGACGCCCCGCCGTCCGCCGTCAGATACGTGTCGCTGACGCCCAGCCGGCCCAGCGCCGCGCCCACCGTGCCCACGCCCACGGCCAGGCCCGGCGCGCCCGCCGCAGAGTATATGTTCTCGGGGTCCGACACCTCCGTGTACCCGTGCAGGTGCAGCGCGCACTGGCCCGACTCGGGCGCCGTCACGTGGCACGGCAGACGGTCGCCCGCCGGGCGCAGAAAGTGCCACCGCGCGCCGCCGTCGTTGGTCACCACGGTCTGCAGCTGCTTGGCCGCGCCGCGCCGCGCCACGTCGGCCGGGTTGCTGACAATGTTGGCCAGCGCGGCGCCCTCCAGCCCGCGCAGCCGCTCAAAGTCCACCAGCCCGGCGTCGTCGCGGTTGACGTGCTCGAGCGCCTGCGCGTAGTACGTGCCGTTCGAGTTGGACGCGTACAGCGTGCCCCACTCGGCGCCGGGCGCGCTGCTCTTGGTCACGTGCAGCATCAGCCCGCCGCCGGGCATCTGGCGCGTGCGGCCGCGCGCGTCCTGGTACGCGAAGCCCTCGGGCGGCTCGAGCACCGTGTACGCGGCGTCCACCGTGGCCGCGTTGCCCGGGAAGCGCGCCGCGGCGGCCGAGCGGCCGTCCAGCGACACGAGCATGCGCAGGGCGCGGCCCTCGTCGGCCTCCTGCGACGCGAGCAGGAAGCTGCCGGCCAGCGCAAAGTCCGTGGCGTTGCGCGCCAGCGTGTGGACGGTCGCCTCGGACGCAAACCACGCGGTGCTGACGTCCAGCGTGGCGCCGTGGGCCGCGTGGCGCAGGCAGGCGACGGCGCGCGCGTCGACGCGCGTCAGCCGGTCGGTCTTGAGGAACGCGCAGCCGGCGGCGGCCAGCGGCGCGGCCAGCGCGTCCCAGTGGGCGCCGTGGTCGCGCGTCACAAAGGCCTCGAGCTGGCAGCTGCCGGCGTCCACGTGCCCGCCGCACGCCTCGTTGGGCTGGCCCAGGAACACCAGCCAGTCGGGGCTGTCCGGGTGGAACCGCAGCGCCGCGCCCAGCGACGCGTGCATCGGCGCCGTCGGCAGCTGCAGCCGCCGCAGCGTGCGGCCCTCGTCGTCCGTGTAGAACGCCGCCGACCCCTTCGCAGGCACCAGGTACGCGTGCGCGTCAAAGTACGGCTGCCGCACGATGCTGGCCACCGGCGGCAGGGCGTCGTCGCCGGCCTTGAGCTCCGCCCACGTGGCGCCCTCGTCGAAGCTGGCCAGCACGCCGCCCGCCGCCGTGCGCACCAGCACGTGCCGCGACGCGCCAAAGTACTGCACGTCGGCCACCGCCGCGTCCAGCACGCGCGCCGCGGCATGCACGCCGCCCTGCAGCCCGCACACGCGGTCCACGGGCTGCGCCCAGTCGGGCTGCGCCGGGTCGGCGGTGCACTGCGAGCGCGCGATGCGGCGGTAGCCCGAGCGGCCCTGGTACGTGGTGCCGGGCCGGCAGCCCGCGGGCGCCAGCGGGTCGGGCCCGTCGAGCACGCAGCGGCCGTAGTCGTCCAGCCAGAAGCCCTCGTCGCACTCGTAGTCCGCCAGCGAGCACGCGCACGTGCGCTCGGCCGTCCGCGGCGGCGCAAACTCGTCGCCCACAAAGCACGCGGCCGAGGCCTTGCGCCGCCAGAACGACGTCTCGACGCCCAGCGTGCACACGGGCGCCGACCGGCCGCCGGCGTCGACGCCCTGGCGCGGCGTCCACAGCTCAAAGTCGCTGCGCGCGTGGTCGCGCGTGTCGACGGCGCACTGGCGCGCGAAAAGACGCGAGAAGTCGACGAACACGACCACGGTGGCGTCGCCGTCGATGCCGTCGGCGCCCACGGCGCGCGCCAGCAGCAGCACGCCCTGGCC